TGGCACGTGCGTAAGATGACGTGGACTACATAGAGGGTAAAGCTTAATTCACACGTGAGAATTATTGGTGACATGTCAGTATATTATTGGATGATATTTTTAATTCGGTCTTGGATATTTCAATGTTCAAATGCAATGTTTCTAAATATATAGTACAGTAAGTATTATATTTTAAGCACATGCCCCTAATAAAAAAAAAAGGAAATACAATAAGAATCATTTAAAGAACTGATAAAATCCATAAGTTTTAGCAGCTGTTAAAATAAAAAATCCATAAGTTTTAAAATTGTTTTTCCATACACACAAAAGTTGGTCCAAGATGATGAACTAACTATACATATATTTTTCTAAAGTGAAACCAAAATGATTTTGGTTTAATGAGCTAAAACTCGTAACTTTTAAATGATTTACTAATTGAAAAGAAGACTGAAAAAGAAAGATGCATTGAACCAACCATTGATCGAGATAGAAAATAAGTAAATAAATAAAAAGTGGAAAGTGGGAACAAAATGCAATAAAAAACGGAAAAGTGTGGAGACAGATACATTGAACAGTCTTTATCTTTCTGCGTACAAGTGGCCCACGCGCGCCTCCTCGACTTTTTTCCGAAGAAATTGAGTGCGTGAACACTCACGCGTTACGTTGCGCGTGGAGATTATTAATTATTGGGCTGATTTAATATGGGCCTTAGCCATGATTAATTAGAATGTTTGTGTTCAAGTTTCTTTCATGGGCTTCAACAATAATTATCATAACTCAATAAGAAATCATTATGCAACATAAAGAAAACTATACAATCAAAGTATCCGTGAATAAAATAAAAAAGAGAGAGGGTTTGATGAACTTTCATGTGCCCTCTGATTCACAAGTTTTAATCATCAAAGGAGAATCGCACAATGAAATCGCACTCTCCATATTTCATCTTCTTTTATTTTCACACGTTGCTGATTCTATTGCAAAATGAACCGTTTTGGCTATATAGACAAATGATTCAGGTATTTAAGTAAATAGAGTTTTTTAATTGACCAAAAAAAAATAAAACTCAATTACCTTATCCCAAACAACAAAATTTACATTTTCTTACGCATTTTATTAAACTTATGTCTACGACATTTTCATGAAAAATATATTATATTATAACCATACAATACATGACTCTAATATGCAATTTTTTTTTTACTTTGTAGTCTCAACAATTTGGAAGTAATTAATCATCCATTTTTTTGAAACTTTGATGAGAAACTTGGTTTCTTAGTAGAGGTTGGTAGCCGGACTAAAGATGATAGGATAATACAGG